TACTTGGATTATAAAATGTGAGGTTGGATTTAAGCCTACCATATGGATAAGGGATCAATTTAGCCCTTAAGTGCCTTTTGGAAGCTCCCATGAAAGGCATTAGAAGTTTGTGAGCATACTAGAAGGCAAACCTGAGGCCTAGTTATGCATATTCAGCAGACCTGTCTAGCTCCTCTGCTCTAAGAAACTAAAATAGATGAAGATGTGCCTCCTAGGAATTAATCACACTATTATTCAAATGGAAATAAAAGAAATGCATGGCTCCAATGGCAGAAAACTTCCCACATTACAATCCACAGGCTCAGTACAAGAGGCACTTGGCCGTTTAGAAATAGGAACTATTTTGAAATGAGCTCGATTCCAAGATTTTTTCAAACTTGGCTTTTAAGAACTGAGCTCCATTCCCCCTAGAAATATTGGAAACTGTACCTAGGAGTAGAGCATAGGCAGGGAAGTCACAAAAACTCATGCATCCTACAAGTAAGTTTAGTTGTGGTTCTAACCCAGTCTTGGATCTGGAAGAGGATTTTGTTCACATATAAGGAAAGTCAGAAAAGCCATGCTTCCTCAGTTTTCCTTTGGCTAGATCAAATTTAGATCTGGGTAGGAAGAAACAGAAGTCAACTTTGCCCAAGTTTTCCTCTCTGCACTGACCTACCCTAAAGTCTTCTCCACAGGTCCCTCATGTGGCTACAGTGCTTATCACCCCACCCTGGGCAGATGTTATTACCTCTCTTCCCTAACCCTTCACATCTCTAGACCAAGATTTGGCTACATTGCTTACTGTCTCTGTGACTTTGAGCAATTTAAATTACCCAATCCTCTACCTGTAAAATAAAGATGATATAGCCCTAGTAGGGCTAATCTAAAAATCGAATGAAAAATATATGTGTTATGCATAGTATACCTGACACTCCACAGGTCTCTAGACCAAAATTTGGCTACATTGCTTACTGTTATGCATAGTATACCTGACACTCCACAGGTCCCTAATGATACAGCAGCAGCTTGTTATTACTTTGGTTATTTAAATTAACTAAGCCGAGCACTTAAAAAAAAACAACAACAACAAAAAAAACCTCACCCAAGGATATGTTTATTGATTTTAGAGAGAGAAAGGGAGAGAGAGGGAAACATCTATCAGTTGCCTCTCACATGCACCCTGACCAGGGATGGAACCCACAACCTGGGTTTGTGCCTTGACCAGGAATCCAACCTACAACCTTTTGGTGTATGGGACAATGCTCCAACTAATTGAGCCACCTGCCCAGGGCAGTACTTTATACTTTCAAAAAAACTATACAAATGTATAACCTATTACATTTAATGATTATTAGATGTGAATTAACATTTTAAATGTTTAAAAGATGCACAATTCTCATGTTTTCAGCAAATCCCTAAGAAAACATTGTTTTTCCTAACACTCACACACAAAATGCATCTGACTACCCCCCACAAGACCCCACTATTGGTTAAATAGGCTCAAAATGCAAACTTTCTCTACATCTATCAAAAAACAATTAAAAGATGACTCTAATCCTCAATATAAATTCCATTTAAAACTTTAAATGCTAAGGTTTTACTTAATGTTTTAAATAACCTAAATCACAATATCCTCCCTTGAGATAAAAAAAAAAAGATCCACAACAAAAGTTTCATTAACTGTTGCTTCAAAACCTCAAATCTAGTAATACTGATAATAGAAAAGGCCATGCTGAAAAGTACCACATTTGACTTTTTATAAGTAGTAAATATATACAGAGAGTAAAAATAATAGTGAAAACTACACCAAGGTTAAATGTCAATTTCTACCCTTCACTTTCATGCTCACGAATCCTAGAACTAACGCTAAATTGTGAAATTTGAGTCTGTCCCAGCCACAGTAGCAGACTTAATGCACCATTAATCTGGTCTGTTCTCAGCTGCCAGTTGAAATTTTCACAGTCATTTGATTTTTAAGGAAAGAAGAGTACTGCAGAAGTACATTCCAGAGGTCTTTTCATAAAAACCATCCTGTGTGCTCCATCTGCACGTGCAATCTGCTGGGGTATTTTCAGCCAGCTTGCCTGGGCAGATTAATGCATACAATTAGAAAGCAACCTCACAGGCATTCAATAAACTGCCTTCATTATTACACTCAGGAGAGTCCCTTTGGATGTCAATAAAAGCCTAGTTTTCTGCCTGTTAGCTAAATAATTGACAACACTAAAAATGATCAGAAGCAAATGAACGAAGTCAGGAACAAGGTGTTAAGAAAGAGCACATTAAGATTCCCATGGCGGTGCCCCAAGATGCCATCATGAGCTTTTTCGCTAGCAACTTGGATTTACAGTCCGCTCAAGTCCATGATCACCCTTCTCTACAGAAAAACAAGGACAACAACAAAAACGTTCCTTGTTTGCTATTTGAACCACATATCACAGCACGCTGAAATGGGAAGGACATGAGGTATTGACTAGTTTGAAAGAATTTCTTACTTGTGTTTCTATTTTATGTTTTTTGGTTTGACAGTTTTATGAGAATCTAATTTTGGGGTAGGAAGGTGGGGGGGAGATGAAGAACAACCTGGTGAAATCTCTGTGCTATAAAAATTCTAACAGCTCTCCTAGACAAATTTTCCCCATAAACTGACTCTAAGAAGGTATTACCAAGACTTCTCATACAGAGTTTCCATCTTTTCTAAGAAATCCCTTTCATATTTTTAGTTATTATAATGGTCATTCCTTTCATGAACTATTGGTCTTTTTAATGTCAAAATAGTTAAAAATACTCTTTAAAAAACTTATAAATATACACTTCTTGTGTTTCTCGATAGGCTTTAAAAATCAATTTGAGATACTTCACATTTTTAGCCAACTTCTCTTTTCCCTGGTTAACTGGGATTCTCACAATAAGCAGAAGAAAGATCAAGAGTGAAATGTGCGTGTAATTGAATTCAGCTCCACTGATGGTTGTGAGGTGGCTGCAGGTATAACATTTTTCTTCAAAGAAAAAGGATGATTGATCTCTGGCATTCAGTAAAGCACAAATTCAAGAAGCTGGAAGCTATGAAAGAAAGGAATTGGGTGACACAATCTCCATGTCCTTTGAAACTATCGCTCATCCTTCACCTTACCATGTTAAAACTCTCTAGGAAAAGGATTCATTCAACTTCCCAGTCCTTACCTACAACCCCACGTTGGTAAGCAGGCCTCCCCTTTTTCTAGTGTAAAACTAGGATGCCACAGGATAAATATATTTGTTCTTATTGTATCTGTAGGCTACAACTCTCATCTATTCTCTACCCATAAATAGAGCTCAATAATAGAACCCTTCATTTATTGCCTCTCTCCTGCCATCTCTCTAAGACAGAGAATTTCTGGTGTTTAGCTTTCTACCAGCTCCCTCACCCCACATGCCTACCTTATTTTAAAACACATTTTTATTGATTTCAGAGATGAAGGGAGGGGGAGAGAGAGATAGAAACATCAATGATGAGAGAGAATCATTGGCTGCCTTCTGCATGCCCCCCACTGAGGATCAAGCTCGCAACCCAGGCATGTGCCCTTGCCCAGAATCGAACCTGGGACCTTTCAGTCTGCAGGCTGATGCTCTATCCACTGATCCAAACCGGCTAAGGCGGCAGTGCCTATTTTAACTTAGAGAAGATAATGTCATTCACTAGTACTTCCACCCAACCCCTTTTCATCCCCCACTCATTTTCTAGCCTGGGTACTAGAGGCCAAGTACCTAACTTGCTTAGGGGCAAAGTGAAGCATCGACAAAGTTCTTTTCCAGTTCCTACCTCTTGAGTCCTAAAGCAAGGAGGAGCTGCTTACTGTAGAGGCAGAATAATTTCAGTGAAATGAGAAAACAAGAACACGCTGTACTTATAAGAGCAGCATGATTTAGGGTGTTATATATGTTTACCCCAACACCAGAATAACCTTAAATTCTGCAAAGGAGGTACAATGATGGGAAGAGAAGAGAGGAGGGAGTCAGAGAGCAATCCATGTAAAAGTGTACTAGGCCAATGACTAGGTCTCATGGGCCAAAAATCTCTGCACAGTCCTGGCAAAATCAAAGTTGTCTGATCCCATTCAACAAGGACCTCTATAAAAAGTTTCAAGTCCCTAAAATATACCGGCACTTTTATGCCCTTTACAGAAGATATTTTATTTAATCCTCACAGATAGGCCTATGTAGGGAGATTATCAAACCTACTTAATTTTTTTTCAAATGAAGCTCAAAGAGGTTTAGTAGTTTTGTCCAGGGTCCTACCTTGGAAACAGCACTAGGACTTTGAACCCAGATCAGCTTGGTTTGACTTCTACCACATTTGGAATTAACCAAAGGAAACATGTTCCTTTGGTTTTATCTATTCTTTTAAGCAGCATGCAGGTAACCTAACTACATAGAGTTAGCACACAAGGTTATCTTTAAAGCCTATATAACAGAGTAGATTATCTACATCATACAGCACAGTAGTTAGTTGTCCTGTACGTGTTAGCTGCTGTTATTCACAAATCACACTGGAAAAAGTACCTTAGTGTATGATCACCAATTGGCAGTTTTGCCAATAATTGCTAATTAATTTCTCAATTCTTGTCTACAAAAATACCCATGTGTAATAGTCCTCAATCCATCAGATAAATGCCTAGTTAGTTTAGATTCTATGTTGGTTCTTTTTTTCAAACACCCGCTTCCTTATGTCAGTGTCTTAGAATTCAATATAATCAGAAGTATCCCAAGTCACCAAAAAATAAAGCCCTCCAAGTTATTTATAATGAAGAATTCCTTAGAGTTAGCAGTAATATTTCTAATCAAATGACTACTAAAAAATACTTTGGTGAGTATAGATATTTCCACCCTTAGGACCTTGCTTACATATGAAGAAGTTCAATTACATAATTAATATAACAGCCAATAATCAAATACCAGATGTTTTGAAAAGTTACCAACTCCTAGCAGAATGAATAATATGGTCATAAAGGTACAAAGCTCTGAAAGCATAAACTTACTATTGCTGATGCTCTCTAAATGCTTCTCTTCTGAGGTTTTCTTGAAGTCTTTTTTTCTCCTCTAGTTTTTCGCTCTGAAATTATAAATATAAAAATGTATTCTATTAGAGAAACTTAAACAGAATCATGGTGTTCACGTTACCTAGTGGCCAAAATCATTAGGCTTTAGCAGCCTCAATAGTCTAATACGGTACTACCAGGGCTTCCAAGATGGCATCCCTCTCACGGCCCATGGGTACTACACTGAAAGCCAGGATAAACCAGTTCTTTCATTGGCTCCCCCTCTTTCAACCTGATTGGTATAATCACACAATCAGTATTTCAAATTTTTATTCCTTAGTTTAAATGACAACAACATTTATATTTTAAACAGTGTTTTTAAAATGTTCTAAGGGAAACATGAAATTTCCACAACAAGTATGTTAAATTAAAATTATAATAAATGGTTAAATAGTTCAGACAACATTTACATATAATAAAACATTCAGAAAAAGATTTTCAGTGAGCCAACCCAACTCCCTTCTGACTTAGAATCAGACACTTAAAGCTGCTGAGAGGCTCAACAGAAAAATGCCATTAAAAAGCCATCAGTTAAATAGAAACGAATTCTCTTTTTATAAACTGGTTGTTTGGTACCTGGCCAGTGTGGCTCACTGGTTCAGCATAAACCTATGAACCAGGAGGCCACTGTTTGATTCCCAATCAGGGCACATGCTGGGTTGCAGGCTTGATCCCCAGTGTCGAGTGTGCAGGAGGCAGCCGATCAATGATTCTCTCTCATCATTGATGTTTCTATCTCTCTCTTCTTACCCTTTATCTCTGATATCAATAAAAAAATTAAACAAAAATAAATAAATAAATAAATAAATAAACCCACTGCCAGCTCCGGAGCCGCCGCTCACAACCACTGCCAGTGCCTGGCGCCGGTCCCAATCGGTAGGCACCATCAGCAGTGTGAGCAGCAGCTGCCAGCCCTGATCATCCCTGAGGGCTTCTCTACTTCCCCCTGCTCCTGAGGGGTGATCGGGGCAGCAGCCGCCACTCACACCTCCTGACGGTGCCAGCCCCGCTCGCAACCACTGTTGGCGTTGGCCCCAGTTGCTTTGTGAGGTCAGCAGGTGTGAGCAGGGCCGGCACCTTCAGCACGTGGGAGCGGCGGTGGAGGGAATGGAGCTGCCAGCAGACAGAGGATGGGGGGCTGCAGCAGGAGGAGCCAGACAGGGGCACAGAAGATGGGCCAAGACCCACCCCTGTGCTACCGCTGCCTCACAACCCACAGTTCCTTTCAAGGTACACAAATTCGTGCACTGGGCCCCTAGTAAATAAATAAAGTGGTTGCTTGGAGAGTCTAGAGACAAAGAACTTTGTATTTGATATTACTGTCACTATGGCTCTGACATTTTTTAATCCAACTTAAATAACTAAGAACTATTGTTTTTGTTTGCTATGACACAACTGTCTTTAAAAAAATATCTTGCCTATGAACAAGTAAAATTCCTAGACAACAAAGTTAATAGGGAGTTGACACAAGTTCTATAACACAGGAGAGACTTGAAGTTTTAAATGAATCCAAGGGAGACGTGAGCAGCTGTGTTTGCTTTAATATAAAGAGTGGGGTTTGCCCAGCAGGAGGACCTGGAAACGGGAATTGATAGAAATCATCACTTCCAAACCCCAATGTCAGTTTGGCTTCACCTTTCAAAGAGGTAGAAATATTCATATTGTTCATTTCCATAAAACTCTTCATTCACGCAGAACAATTTACTAGTCCCATTTTGAAAGGTGAAGTGGATGATTTCAGTTTCAGGAAAAAAAAACACAAAGGAAACTTACCACAGCCAATACAAATCAATTATGATACAAGGCAATTGGATTATTGATGCAACATAGTTCTAGGAAAAAAACTAATAATTATAAAACCGAATAAATACGATCTCAATCTATAAAAAAGTCCTGACTCATGAAACTCAAAGTGGTCAATTGTGATGAACTTCCTACATCCCTGGGTGGGTCGGGGGGGGGGGGGGAAAAGACATCAAGCAAGCAGTAGGTATTGATTAATGATACTTTGAGAATAGTGAAGAAGAACCACAGCATCTAGAGACCAAGGCTGGGTTCCTTTAGCTAAATCAGAAACTTAAAAATTGTTTAATCTCTTCATTAATAGATTATTATTGAATTCATCTCACACACACACAAAAAACAGTAGCTAAATTCCATCCAACAAAGATCTGTCGCCCTGACCGGTTTGGCTCAGTGGATAGAGCGTCGGCCTGCGGACTGAAGGGGCCCAGGTTCAATTCCAGTCAAGGGCATGTACCTTGGTTGCGGGCACATCCCCAGTGAGGGGTGTGCAGGAGGCAGCTGGTCAATGTTTCTCTCTCATCGATGTTTCTGACTCTCTATCCCTCTCCCTTCCTCTCTGTAAAAAATCAATAAAATATATATTTTTTAAAAAAGATCTGTTTACTCCTCAGAAGTTTATAGAAGTATTTTGCAAAATGCCAAAGTATTTGAAAAATTGTATACAATACCTACCAATGTACAGGTACCCAAATACTTGGACCTAATTAGACTGTTTATTTCTTTCAGTTTTATAATGAGTTAAGGAATCACCCAAAAATATTTACACATATATACACAAATGCAGAAATGTAAAATATCTAAGAACATGAGATCCAAAAGAAAAAATTATGGAATCAGCTTTAGGTTCATTATCAATGACGGAGTGACCTTTAGTCATTTAATATCACTGAATCTCAACAAACACTTACCAAATGCCTAATATATCCCTGTACTATGTTAGATGCTGGGAATGCAGATATGAACAGAACAGTGCCTACTCTGAACAATTTCAGAAGTTAGCTGGGGACGTAGACAAGAAAGCAATGATGGCAGTATGTAAAATACATGAGAAGATAGAGGTTTACAAATAATGTAATACAAACACATATAAAAAGCACAGAAGTGGGTCATCGGGAAATGCTTTCAACAGTTCCCAAAACATCCTACTAAGTAGCAGACCCCATGCTGGACTACTATGTAGTTGAATAACACTCGGAATATGCTTTCTAACCTCAGGTTCATGCATGAACTGTGGGTTAGGAGTATGCTCATTTTTACAGAGTGGGCTCATAGCCTTCTTCTGATTCCCCAAGGGACTTATGATCATACTAGAGGCCCGGTCACAACATTTGCGCACTGGGGGGTCCCTCTGCCCGGCTTGCACCTTCTCCCAGTCCTGGGCCCCTCAGGAAATGTCCGACTACCAGCTTAGGCCTGATGGGGAATGGGCCTAAGCCAGCAGGCGGAAATCTCCCAAGTGGTCCTTAGCGCTGCTGCGGAGGCAGCAGTGGCTCCCACCACTGCCGCTGCACTCACCAGCTGTGAGCCTGCTTCTGGCTGAGTGGTGCTCCCACTGTGGGGATGCACTGACCATCAGGGGGCAGCTCCTGTGTTGAGCGTCTTCCCCCTGGTGGTCAGTGCACATCATAGCAACTGGTCATTCCACTGTTCGGTTGATTTGCATATTAACCTTTTATTATATAGGATAAGAGCATGAGAACCATTGGTCTAATGAAAGCTAGAAATTCTTGATAGAGACCAATCTTAAACAAACAAGAGCTTTCCAAGAGAAGGGGATGATGGGAGTAGGGCTACTGTACTCTATTGTATGGGTTACACACTGTCTGAGGGGGCCAAGTGGAGAGGGTTGCAAAGGCTGAAAAAGAGGCAGCTTTACTCTCACCACATCTAGCACCACAGCATGGGGTGCTTCAGTGCAGCAGAGGTGTCTTTCTATTTTTCACAAAGGTGCCTTCTATCACCAATCTGAGTACCGGCAGACCTGACTGTTTGAATGGGGATCACTTCTAATTTGCACAAAGGCAATGCTGGGCTGGGAGTGGCCCTGAATAGAAAAAGGGCATTCCCACAGGCAGCAGTTCTCAACCTGTGGGTCGTGACCCCTTTGGCGGTCGAATGACCCTTTCACAAGGGTCGCCTAAGACCATCCTGCATATCAGATATTTACATTATGATTCATAACAGTAGCAACATTACAGTTATGAAGTAGCAACAAAAATAATTTTATGGTTGGGTCACAACATGAGGAACTGTATTTAAAGGCCAGAAGGTTGAGAACCACTGGTTTATAGAATTTTCAATGTACAAATGCACAAGAGAATATGCCAGTTCAGGGAACTCCAAGGTGCTCCTGGATAAATTTAAAGGTTTTTGTAATGAGAGGGTGAAAGATAAGGTTGAGAAAGTAAAAATGGATAATTATAAAGGGGTAATGCCAAGTAAAAAATTCTGGACTTCATTAAAGGCAGATAAGCCATTATGTTATTTTAAGCAGGAAACTAAGCAGCTCACTCTGAAAGCATCACAGAGAATGGACCACAAATATAAAAACCAGTAGAATGACTTTCACAGTAATCCAGGCCATAAATAATGAGTCCCAGATTAAGGCAGCCAGGATAGAAAAGAAAGGACAAACTCTAAAAAAAAAAATGTAGGAGATAGAAACAACATGAGGGAAAAAATGAAATAATATAAAGTATGACTATCTATATATATAAAAGCCTAAGCGACCATACTATGACTATCTATATATATAAAAGCCTAAACGACCATCCAGCCCGGGGGTGGGCAAACTTTTTGACTTGAAGGCCACAATGGGTTCTTAAACCGGACCGGAGGGCCGGAACAAAAGCGCCATTCGACCATCCAACCGGTAACCATGACGTGCAATGACCACCAGAGGGCAGACACTCCAACCGGTAGCTATAATGCACACTGACCACCAGGGGGCAGATGCTCAACACAGGAGCTGCCGAGCTGCGGTGATTTGGCAGCTGCGGTTCTCGGGTGACGCACCCAGAACCAGAGAAGAGGGAGCCCAATTCCAGGGTGTGTCACTCAAGAACTGCCCTCTTGAAATCTGGGACCCCTCTGGGGGTATCAGAGAGCTAGTTTCGGCCTGATCCCCACAGGCCAGGCCGAGAGACCCCAGGCCTCTAGTATTAATATAAGATGAATAAAGAAAAGGGAATAGTACCAGATGAATATC